TGCCGCCAGTTACAGCGCGTGTCATGCGCGATTCAGCATATATACATGCGTAAAGAAAACCATGTACCATGTACTGCACAAATGCTACCAACGTCAACGTAAATATTTTTTTTCTTTGATACAGTGCAACTAAGGTAACTCACCATCACGATTTCAAGCAACAAATGCTGGAACAGTGCAATTTTGCTGGACCACTTGTAGCACGAAAACGTGTCTATAGCTGTGCCTTTTCAGCTACGGTATTTCGCCTCACAGTTGGCCTCACGTCATTTTACCCGCTGAAACTGCCGGCAGTCTGTGCATGGTCTTTGTGCGGACGCCAGAGACACGCACGCAGTCACGTCAGCAACACTTAGAAATGTGCGAGCAACTGCAAACGGCTTCGTAGTTGCATATTTGTACACACAGACTGGTCGAAAAAAAATTATGTGGTGCGCAACGTCCATAGGACTGCCCCGCCGCGGTGGTTTAGTGGCGAAGGTACTCGGCTGCTGGCCCGCAGGTCGCGGAATCGAATTCCGGCTGCTGCGGCTGCATTTCCAATGAAGGCGGTAATGTAGGCCCGTGTGCTCAGATTGGATGGATGGATGGATGCTATGAGCGTCCCCTTTATAACGGGGTGGTGACAATCATGCCACCAGGCTCGACCTGGTGGCATAATTTGGGTGCACGTTAAAGCACCCCAGGTGGTCGAAATTTCCGAGGCCCTCCACTACGGCGTCTCTCATAATCATATGGCGGTTTTGGGACGTTAAACCGCACATATCAATCAATCAATCACCGTCAATAGGACTTAGAAGTGTGGCAGTTTGGGCTAGTTGGTATGACATGGCCTTCTTGTCCCTTTGTCGTCGTTCTGTTTTCGCGCTATAACTATCATCGTGTCAATAGGACGTCGAAGCAGCAGTTGAAAACACTTGATTACATTAATGACAAGGAGTAAATTTAAGTACACTTTAATATAAGTTAAGACGTGTGCAGGCAAATTTTCATTAGAAACAGCTGTCAGCCTGTCACCATTGCAACTAGGGAAGAAACTAGGGAAATATCAGGTAACAACGGGTCCTCAGCAAAGCTTCTTTCTTTAGTTTTTTTTTTTTTTTTTGCACCAACGCATTGCGTGACAGTAAATCAAGCATAGTACACTTAGAGCTCAATACCATCACGAAATATTTAAACAAAAATTCTAGCTACATATGATGTATAAATGAAATGAAATGAAATGTATAGAATTCTCTCTCACGACCTACTGTAATCAGCAGTCATGATTTTTAATGATAACGAAGGTAGTGAGCTTAGAATACAGGAAGTCACGCTAGAGATAACAGATAAATACAAATATCTGGGCGTATGGATAAGCAATGGGACCGAGTACCTAAGGGAACACGAAATATAAGTGACGACTAAAGGTAACAGGAATGCAGCAGTGATGAAAAATAGGGCACTGTGGAATTACAATAGGTATGATGTTGTGAGAGGAATATGGAAAGGGGTCATGGTTCCTGGGCTGACGTTCGGCAATGCGGTCTTGTGCATGAGGTCAGAAGTTTAAGCAAGATTAGAAATTGAGCAACGTGGAATAGGTAGGCTTGCTTTAGGAGCTCACATTTGAGGGCAGGGAAGCTAGCAGCAAGATAAAATTTGAGAAGCGATTGAGAGAAATGGGGAGGAGCGTTGGGCTAGGAAGGTTTTCAGCTACTTGTACATAAAGAATGTCGATACAAAATGGAGGAAGCGAACAAGGAAATTGACTGGTAAATACTTAGAAAACAGCAAGTGGCCAAACCAAAAAGAACTTTCGGTTAAGAAGAAAGTGAAGGAAACGGAGACTGACATGTGGAGAATTGGCATGATTAAGAAGTCCGCACTAGAGATCTATCGAACTTTTAAGCAGGAAATTGCCAAAGAAAGGATCTATGATAATACTCGGGGTAGTTCTCTACTGTTTGAGGCCAGGACGGGAGTATTGCGAACCAAGACATATCGGGCCAAATACGAAGGGGTAGACACAGTATGCAGTGCGTGTGGAGAGGAAGAAGAAACTGCCGAACACTTGATAATGTTCTGTAAAGGGCTTCACCCTAAAGTTCAGGATGATGGCGCAGAGTTTTTCAAAGCACTGGGGTTTAGAGACAGGGAGGGCAAAATAGACTTTAAGCGGGTAGACTTAACTAGAAGGAGGTTATCTGATTGGTGGCTAAAGTACCAAGGCACGAGTAAAAATTAAACCCTTCACTGCAAAGTGCCCGTCCAACTTTACTATTTAAAGAAAAAAAAAAAGATAAATCTAGTGGTTAGTTCACTAAGTATTACGGCTAGGTGGCGTTAGCCGCCGCCCGATCTAAAGGGTACAGCCACATCCATCCATCCATCCATCCATCCATCCTGAGCGCTAGTGGATGCATGGAAATGCATGGGTTACCGCCGGTTCGAGAAGAATTTCATCACGCATTGAGTAAATATGGCGGGTATCTTGAATCTTTTTATTTTGTGACTTTGAGAATCTTCTTTCGCGTTTTAGTTGACATTTCAGTGCATTATTTTTTAAATAGGACCGCAAATCAGATACAAACACATGTATCAGCGTGAAAAACAAGAAAGAATGATGACAGAGACAGGTTGTAAAAAGTGCTGGCCCACCAAATGTTTATTTAACTCATGATACCGGCTGTACGTGTATACATTGGTAGACTTGTCGCACACTCAGCTGGATTGAACTTACTGTCTGGACGAGAAAGGGCAAGGACTATGACATTTGACAGTGGCCGCGGCATCCAGCGCGCATAGAAAACAACCCGATACAGACAATTTTGCGCATAAATACCTTCGTATCAAATGGCAAATGTAGATCGCAGGTACATCAATAATCAATAAAAAACGCTCTGCAACTGCTTTGAAACGAAACAGCACCAACTGCAAACAACAACAGCAAACAACTTTACCCGCAAGACTGCAGCGTTTGCTCTTTTGGAGAGAAGATTAACCTCTGCAACTTCACGGTTCAGCTTGGCTATTTGCGCTTTTAATTCAGCATTATTCCTTGCCATGGTTTGGCATTTCCGGCACGATGATTTTGCAGAAGTCATCACACGGCGCATCTTCTGGCTGGTTATAGTTGTTTGCGTGGTCAAGGAGCGTCGGTCTTTTTTTTTTTTACTTTGTCGCCAGGTGCAGTTTCAGGTGGTTCTGTGCGTTCAAATTCGGTAAAGGGTGCATAAAGTCTGAGGATTGTCCCGCAGTTGTGTTTGCGGACGGTACTGATGACGTGTCGCTCGATGTCAAGCTCTGCTGCGCCGGGGCTGAACCTGTTTTCTTCCTGCATTAAAAAATTGCGTTCTGTTATATGCCTTTCCTTGAAATTCGTTTTCATTGGTCCAATTTGTATGCAAGAGCTGTGGGGAGACGCCAAGCATTAAACATTGTTAGTCACTTTTTTTCTTTGGGCAGGGTCCATGTTCCTGAACATTTGAACGTTTCAAGGTGTGGCGGACTTTTGCCACGGGCGGCACCATGTACTTTGGGTAGTGTGGAAACATTGACGGCACTGCATCCGCTTTCAGTCTTTTTGTCTTTAGTCCCGGCTTATAGTCGGTTGGAGCAAAGTGCATACTGCACACCTTCGACCTGTCATTTGGGAGCCAAACTTCATTGCCAGCACCTTGAAAGGAAGAAGATGAACATTCAGTAAAATGTTGTGAATAAAATACAAAATTCCTTGTTCTTTTCTGAGGAGTATATCATGCAATTAGAAGTTTATACCATGGTAGCGAAGTGAATAAAACACAGTTTTGAAGTGAGCGTATGACTTCACCTCGTTAACCATGTGACACATGTAACTGGCTGAGATACATTAGCACTAAATAAAACGGATGACCACAAAAAAGAAGACAAGGACAGACACAGACGCTACCCACAACTTTTCATTAGGAGAAAAGTTTTCACGTATATGTCCTTTTGTCATGCATGCGCGTAGACGGGTAAACTAACACGTTTATATCAGACGCGGTAGCACATAAATTCAAGTTCGAGGTCGAACTAATTAAGCGACAGAGGATAAATATTCACTTATGCAACGATCTCTGCTCTTTTTGTCTTTTTGGTAAAGTAATTAAACTACCAAAGCAATCTCGAAGCTGCTTCTCCCCACAATGGGTGTGTTTGAAAACCTAGTTGCATAACCACATGTAGTGACATGGCTTTCATATGTGCACTCTTGTCACCTTTTCTTTTTTTTTTGCTAATAAAAAGTTGTGAGTATAGCACGTCGTCATTTACTTTCTTGAGGTTGTTGGTTTATTTATTTTTTTGCGCTAATATGCGTCTCAGTCTGTCATGCACCACCAACCAGCCCAGCAACTCACTCGTTTAAAGACACGTAGTCATTTACAACCCATTATATTTTCAGCATGCCAGACAACACCTAATTGAGCAGACTTACCCTTTCTAGAAATCACCTCGTTGCATTTTTCACCAACTTCGGTCACTGGAAACTCATATGAAGTGACATCAGAAGTCTTCCCTTGCCTTGATTCGCAGAAAGGCACGCAGCATACCACCATCGTGATGGTTCATTTGCACCAAGAAACCTCGCTTCGCTGGTGTACAAACTGCACCTACCTGCACGCTTCTATCGCAGCTCGGCACGAGGAGACGGTGGCAAAATATCGTCATTATACTAATAAGTTTATTCAAAAAGAGGTTTTATTCATTTTTTTTTCAATCGTACAGAGTGTATGCACGCGTAAACATTGCTGCTTTTCTCCTAATGTCGCGCGAGCAAACGACAAAGAAAAAAAAAAGCGCGGCGCCTATGTTTTTGCCGTCAGCAACCGGTGCGGATGGGGTAAGTTATAGCGCTACAGAGCGCATAGCGGCAAGCACCAGTACCAGAAAGGGCGTACTGGTGCTTCGCTCGCTGGACAGGTCAGTACATTACAGTAGGTCGTGTTCTCTCTGCATGTGCCGTTCCGGCAGAAATTTTCAAGCCAAACTCGAAAGAAGCTCATCCAAGCCAAGACGGAGCAGATGCCAAGCGCTGCGGCAGACAAAAAAAAGTCTGCATTGTTTGGCGTCTTCTTAAATGTGCGCTATTTAACTGACAGTATCCTTCAAATACAAAGTGTGCTCTTGTCTGAAGCGGCCGGTTTACGTTGGTGACTGTTTGTTGCGTATTGGATGGTACATTTTTTGCTGAACTGTAGTGCAAAGCTTAACAGTAAATAGCATCACAGAGGCCGTTCGCAGTGAATCGCTTGATATTGAACACACTGACTTCTTGTTTACTTAATTAGTAATCGTCCGAGTAAGATGGAAAAATCGGAAGGCCTTGAAGCAAAGAGCGAAGAGCCAGCAGTTGTGGGATGTTCAGGTATCGTCGCCGCTTTCGCCTTTGTTGCCCCTTCAGCTGTTTCCATGTTTTCCCGAAGATGCCTTTTGTGCCCGGTTCTCTGACTGAATATATTTTGCAGGTAATGATAACGGTGCCTCCACAACGACTGATCCTGCTGAGCCAAGCGACGTAAGTGAAAGCTGCGAATCTGTAAAGTAGCAGTTTAGCTTTCACGTTGATGTCAAAACGTTGTACAACCCGATATCGCAGGGCACTCGCCATCGCATCTAAGTTCTCGATAACGATTCGCTCGATCCTTCTAAAAGCTGGTGCCAAGGAGCCCTTTGTGATTAAAATTTCCCGAGGTACATCTGTAACCTAGTCTTTAGCGATTGTTATAGCGCGAAAACAGAACGACGACTAAAGGGTAAGAAGAAGACGAAGACGACGCCAACTTTGTCCCTTTGTCGCCGTTCTGTTCTCGCGCTATAACAATCGTCATGTCATACCAACTAGCCCAAACCGCCACGGTTCTAGGCTCATATTAACCGCATCAGCTGCGACAATTTTGCCGCTTGTAATAAAGCCATTTAAAAATATTTAATTGGTATGCATTCACGAGCAACTACATGTCATCTGGTTGACTACCATAGTACTCACGCCATTAAAAAGTCCTTGTGCCTGTTAACTTTCGAAATTAAATATCTCACTCGCCATTTGAGTTTAGAAGTCCTGGGCTTATGATCTATCAAGATAGTTCGAATTTGGCTGCTTTTCCTCGATATTTCCGTTTTTTTTTTTCCTTTGGCATCTTATGCATTGCCTCTTTTTTTTATAGATTAACCCCTTCAGTGTTCTTTTTTTTTAGATTTCCTGTCTAAAAATATATTTTTTTTGTACTTAGGTGTAGAATCCTTTGCTTCTAAGAAGTATGTTTCGATGTGAAAAAAAAAATTCAAATGTAGAATAATTCAAATTAGCATAACAGATTTTATTGTCCTATGGCCTATTAGTGTGTTTAGTGAAAAAAAAAAATCCTTGCTGAGAAACTGGCGAATATAACACATCAAGTCATCCAAATAAACTTTGATGACTGTACTCAAAGTAACGGTGTCTGAGTAATTAGTGCCTGAAGAGCTGTACGATGACAAAAGGCTTATTTCCCACAATGATGCACGAGCAATGCATGCGCCGCCTTTTGTGTACATTTTCTAGAAACAAGCCATTGAAAAATGTGATATTGTGGTTAAACTACAATTAATTGCCAAGAAAACGCTGTCATCTGTGAAGTGTTACATGAACTAGCCTGGAAATGAGCAAGTCTCATTCAGAACACTCGTGGGAAGATGTTAGCTCAAGCTAACATGCCACACTTGTCCAAAATGGCGTGGGCACAGTCTGGTGGGGATGAGCTGTGCTGGTTCAAAATAGTTGAAGGGGTTAATAAAGAAGCATTGCAGCTGTTGGCCGTTAAGTTACTTTTCACTGACGAATGAGTGCAGCAGGAGCGGAGTAAGGGTTAGGGGCTCCAACAGAGTTGGTAAGCATTGCTAGAATTGCGCCAACAAAAGGTTGGGCAAGCAAGCTTGGAATACTTGCAGCTGAGAGCACCAGTAACTGTTGTATTTTTGTCGTTTTCAGCCAAAGAAGAAGCCCAAATGGACCAAAGGTAAACGGAGAAAGAGGGCACGTGATGTCAACGCTCCGGAACGACCGCTGACGGGCTACGTCCGTTTCCTGAACGATCGGCGAGAGGCCGTTCGAGCTGCGAACCCTACAGCCAACTTTCCAGATGTCACAAAGCTCCTGGCCATTGAGTGGAGCAAGCTTAGTCCCCAGGAGAAACAGGCAATGCGGTTCTCGTCACATTATACACTATAATCTAGCAAAAATAATGTAAAAATAACTACAGTAGAAGTTGTACAAGAATTCTTGGTTATTTTTGTGTGGTACATTTGTGCACCCACATTAGATTCAGCTGCAACTTGGTGGCACTCTGTCGGTGTTGTGAAACGCGTCAAGCATCTAAACACACTGTCTTGCATAAAGAATGTTGTTCAAGGCGCGTTTACACTAGAGTGACACGACATTGACACGAGCCCGCCGAAGACGCGAGGCAGACGCAGACCATCGGCCGGTGAGTCGCCCGCCGACAAAGTTGCCAGACCTCCTGGTCACCCTAGGCTGACGACGGCGCCTGAAAAGACAGCATGTCGTTGCAGTGTTACATGATGAGAGACCGAAAACACCGGCAAAACACATCTGCTGACCTGTCGTCGGTGTCGGCATGTCTTCGGGAGATCGCCGGCTGAGCGAAAACTTTCCCCATGTCTTTGGTTCAAACGACCCCGAATGGGGTAATCTTGCGGGAGTTAACAATGACCTCTCCGAGCCTTAGGCGGCGTCTGAATAGGCAGGTCGAGCACCTAACTGAAGTCTTTTTTTTCGCTTCGCTATTGTGTCCATCACCCCCATCCCTCGTCACTGCGGATTATGGCGGGGGCCGCACGGGTGGCGTGAGCTTCCAATGGGACTACAGAATTGGCCAACAAAAGACTGTGATCACGTCAAGGCGGGGTCTTCGAGAGACCACCAGAGGACTGTTTGTGTCTTTGCAGTGTACATAGGCCGATGACAAGAGAAAAGACACTTTCAAAAACAGCCTGCAGACTAAAATAAGTGTCCTGTCTCTCTAGTGTAAATGCACCTTTAGGAAGCCATCAGCATTGTAAAAATCTAACAAGTGTCTGAAAGCGTGGGCTTGCATATGAGACACTTACAAAGGCAATCTCTTTTGCTTGGTCAGACATGCCGTGCTGTCATGCTCCAGGACATGGTGTTGATTCCCGGCCATGGCAGTTTTGATGGAAATTAAAGTCCAAGAGCATTGTTGTGCATCGATCAAGGTGTATTTTAATGAACCCCAGGTGGTCAAAGTTAATTTAGAGTCCTCTATTCAGCATGCCTCATAATCATATGGTGGTTTTGCCACATATATCTAAGAACTTGCCTGTAAGATGCCTGTGCTATAGTGGTTACACCAGAGAGCTTCAGACCTAAGGGACCAGGGTTTAAATCTCCCTGTGGTAACATTTTAGACATCCTTATTTATATTCATTTTCATAGCCCTGGCACATCACCATTGAAGTTAAAACAGCCTAATATTGATGCTAGTTACGATTGTTCTTCCCGTCTACAGAGTGCAGATTTTAAAGGATTCTCTTTCTTTTGTTCTTGTTTGGGGTTGTGCTATAGCATTCAGCAAATATTTTGGAAGCTTAAAAAATAAATACTATTTGCTTTCTTAACTCTTTGAATATGGTCAATCTTCACCAATAATGAATATTTACTATACCACAACAGAGGCTTGCCAAATTCTTGTAATCATTTGAACTGCTGCAGTCGCTTCAATGTGGCATCGGTGCCACCTTTCTTTTGTCTTTGTCTTTTGCTGGCTTACCAAACATCTTGCAGCCTTAGTGTCCGTATTGTATTGTAGAAAATCAATTTTTTTTATAATACTACAGCTCAAATTTCTGTTCCCTGTAGTGTCTGTTTAAACCAAACAATGTTTTGTTATTTGGGTTGATTTTTTGGTGGTTATTGCCTCACAGGTTGTGGTTCTTCGTAACACTTTCTGCGTTACTAGTAGATTAATAAATCAGCATCATTGAAGGTTTCTTTTTTGTTTGATTTCTTCTACATTGGTGCAAGATTGACCACACTCACACTCGTTATTCAAATAGTAGGACTCTTAATGTGCTCGTGAATTTGTGTGGAGCATGGAGACATGTCTAGCATACTGCAGGCGTACTCAGCTAATTTTATGGAATGCTTGACATATTCTTGGTTCATATCATTGCGCTTTTATGTACTGAATTTTTTTTTTCAGTACTGGAGGAATGCTATTCGAGTACATGAAAGCAACACTGTGAGACCACTGCTTCTTTAGTTAGTGATTTCCTAGATTCGTGTAAACAAAACACTAAAACAGACACACATAACTTGCGAAAGTTTTCTGCACTTTCGACTTCGTGGCATGACTGTTAGGCAACTTTTTTTGTTGTTTTGGATTTACTGAAAGACATGTTAGATAATCTCTATGCCAACCTTAGGTTTCCTGTAGCTTACACTTCATCGCAAACCACTTGAGATACTTTTATTGACAGAAGTACAAGGTTACTTGTGCTTAATACAGCCATAAATCAGCCAGATGTGAAGTTGATTTTCGTATAATAGTGAATGGGCCTGCTGAAATGGTACATTGACTGAAATAAATAGGACTGTTGTGTTGACGACACTTGTGATGCTTTTTGTGTGATGCTTAATCTAAGTGCACTGCTGGGAGTGCCGCTGGGGTTGTATTTTACTTACTTAGTTATTAATGAGCGTTGTTCTTTTTACCGACATAATTCTTCTACAGCAGTGTAAACGATTGTATTTGCTCTGTGCAGAAATATTTGGACGAAGCTGAGAAAGACCGTGAGCGTTACACAAAGGAGCTGGAGCAGTACCAGCAGACAGAGGCATACAGAATGTTCACAAAGAAGCAGCATGAGAAAAAAGCAAAAGGTATTTCTAGCCATACTCGTTCTCTCTCACAATGCACATGTGGATGTGCGACAAATTCTTTACAGTCATAATTTTTTTTTTTGTAAAGTGGGGTGAAGCCAAGAAAAAATGAGATTGCATTGAACTGCTGAATGAGATAGGGCGTGTCTGCCACATTTTTCTTCTGTACGAAGAAATTGGGCTTTGAATGCACATTTCAGCACGAAATTTCTATTTCAAACCGCCACCTCTGAAGTCTTTACTGGAAGTGAAGGACATTTTGGTATTCACTATGGTACAGAAGGAAATTCAAAGCCACTGCTGTGTTTTCTTCTTGTAAATTGAGCAAGGCCACATTGGACATGCTGTTGTCCATGCTCTAGTACCCAACTGCGCAGTGAGGGCTTCGAAGCTGAATATTCCTCTCAATGATTTCATTTGTCAAACAAGATACAGCACCAAACTGAAGTGCAAAAAAAAAAAAAAAAAAAAACCAAGGCACCACATAGCAGTCTTAAAATCTCCAGCTCAAACGAGTGCCCTGTTTCTGTACTGTGCGAAAGCACTACCTTTGAGATTTGATTTCGTTGCTTGAGGGATTCGTTTTTTGAAATGTCAGCTGATTTCTTCACCACTTTACGGTTATCACACTGCAGTGCACTTGTAACATTCAAGAATTGAAACAACAAATTCTATATTTTCCTGTATGCCCTCAAATTTAGCTATTTTCTTGTGGGACACGAAGGCAATTAAAATTCAAAACTGGTGGTGACCACCCGTAGTGATTTCCGTAAGTTTTTTGCTGTAAGGCTGTCTCAGCTGTTCCCTGGTCCCTTTAACAAACAAACAAAAAAAAAAGTGGCTTAACGAGGCACTATCGTATTTGTGATGCTCCCTGCAAAGCAATGTTTATTTTCTAGCTCATGTCATCTTGACATGTAAATTCCTAATCTGCCATTTTTGAGATTGAGAGTTTGTTCAACTACTTTTTTTTTCATAATTGTGGTACTGAATTTGTACTGAAGCATGTACAGTATATAGTGAAGAAGCGACCGATCTCTTATGAGAATCCCATGGCTGTGAATAAAATGTTATGCTCGTGGGAATGCAATCAGCTTTGACTTTGTTCAAGTACAGTGGTGGTTGCTTTTGTGGTGTGTGCTACTTGTTGATAGCTACACTGGAAAACTGCTAACAGTTAGTATCCATCATGCTCAGGTGATGATGCCAGTGCAGCAGCCACTACGAATGGCACAGCAGCTGATGTAAGTGTTGATTCTCTCAACATTTTGCGTGCTTTCTTTGTCGGTTTCAAGTTAAAATGGGATAAGTGGTTAAATGGTATTTGTTGTGTTCATTTAAAGTTTTCAGCCTTTTGGGTTTGGAATAGTAGAAGGCAAGAGTGAATGGAGAATGCTTTAGTTATGCGCACTTTGCTGATAACATTGCCTTGCTGTGTAAATAGCGGGATCGATTGTAAAGCGTGATCACAGAATTGGGCAGGCAAAGCAGAATCGTTGGTGCAGAATTAAATATGCAGAAAGCTAGAGAAATGTTCGATAGTCTTTGAAGAGAACAGCAGTGTGCAAAATGTAGCATTGGAAGTAATGAAGAGTACATCTGTTGAGGTCATACGGTTATTGCAGTTCCAAAAAACAAAGCTGAATTAACTGTAAGAATTAGAATAAGTTGGAGTGCATCAGGCAGGTAAACTCATATCACGAATGGCAGATTACCAGTATCTCTGTTCAGAAAGGTGGGATATTTACCCGCTTCTAATGCGCCCCTGACTCTTGCACGCGGGTTTCGCGATCGTAAGAAAATAGTATAAACAAGGCTTTCAATCTCATTTCTAACATACATGCACAGCTAGCATGAACTATAGAAAAAGAAGTCTGAATAAGTTGATGCTGTAAACATGGAACAACCTCTAATATTGGCCTGTGAAGCTGCCACCTATAGGGGCACACTGCTAACCATTGCAAACACAGCGTGAAACAAAACATTCAGCATAGTCTTCTTTCAAAGTATTTAATTGAAGTATTCAGAAGAAAATAATATTGGAAGAAAACATTGTTTCCTAAGCAAACATTAATGTCTTGTCATTAAGCTATGTTCAAAGAATGCTCTTTGTTCTGTTGCCACCTTGTCTTGATCAAAGTGCTAGTGCGTGCAGTAGACTAATGATTGGCTTTGTGTTTGACGGTGCCATGCAGGCCATTTTCAGGCAAAATTGCAGTCATTGACCGTTTGTTTGGACGCTGAAAATTCATACATGCTTGTTTATTCAGACACTTTTGTGTCGCTACCTCTTGTCCCATTGAAATGTAAATTGACAACTGAAAATTACGATGCCCCACAGTGCGCTATTTGATTTTTTCAGACTCTGGCTGGCTGATCAGGTGTGCTGTTGTATGGTACGATATTCTGTGCTGGCTAGGTTGCCAGCACAGAAAGGTTGCACTGGCTATGTCTGTAGGTCGTGCGAGTGGTCCCCTTGGGAACTATAATTACGTATTTCAAATACTATGTTTGTTTGCACTGCATAATGGTTGCCTTTTGGCTTTAGCCTGTGAACTATGCATTTAATGTCTATTACAGCGAAATGGCTAGTCAAACCATGTTCAGAGTCAGCTTGGCACGTCATTTATTTTGGGTTTGCTACATTTCCATTGTCAGTTGTTTCTGTGATTAGACCTGATCTGCATTTCACCCTTTGTGTCTTGCTCTATTTTTTGTTGCATGGCATGCAAATGCCACCAATTGCATTTGTACCATCAGAACTAATCAAGAAACGTGGCATTTATTAGACACTGACGATGGAGGAAAAAAAGCAGTGAATATTTGACAGATGCACAGCGGTCTACTTCGAAGTTGCCTAAGAGATTTTGCCGAGTTATAAGATATTGAGATAGTGTATCAGGTGCTCGAACCAGCGCAGGTGGACAGTGACTGTAATGACGCACCGTTCGCATCACAGCCATCAAATGCGGAATGAGCACAGGCCGTAACAGTGCTATTGTTGTCGGCCTACGGCGATGGCCAAACACTGGCTGAGCATAAGCGTGTGTGCATGTATGTGCAGACGAATTTTTCCGGCTAGTGGGCCGGTAAAAGTGCTTTTTTTGCAAGTCAATTTTTGTATTTGGACTTTCAATTATCTCAACATTTTGGTGATTGCCACTTAGTACAAATAAATGGTTGGCAAGTGTAACACTAGTAGTAGTAGTAGTAGTAGTAGTAGTAGTAGTAGTAGTAGTAGTAGTAGTAGTAGTAGTAGTAGTAGTAGTAGTAGCAGTAAAAGAAAGGCCTTTATTTGGTCTAGAGTTGTGACATGTATTATCACTACTGGATTCACTTTCAAAACACACGCACTACCATACTTAAAACAGTCTCACCATTTTCTTTCTTTGTAGGCAGTAACTGAAGACAGCAAGAAAGATGAACTACCTGGCTACAACATTCCCATTTTCACAGAGGAGTTCCTCGACTACAACAAGGGTAAGCATCAATGGAAGGCTCTTGTGATGTTGGTTTTAGTGATTCATTAGTTTAATAAGTGGCTAATGTAAAAGATAGGCTACTGCTGATCGGTATCTGCTTAGCCCTCGTTTCGCGAAACCAGTCATACACTGCCTAGTCAAGCTCTTCATGGGCTGGCTGGGTCGTCTTCTTTTGTTGGGCAGATGCGCTCGACGCTAGGGCATTTAAGATGCTCGCTGCGGACTTCAGTATCGTTCACAGCGAGCTAGGGGAGATACCATATTCTTCAGTGATACATCCTTTTTTTGTATTGCTGCTGCGACCACAATTATTTCCGCCTTCTGCTCTAGCGAAACAAACTTCCATTTCTTACTCTCTGGCGCCGCCATAAGCCCTTGCTGCTGTAGATTGAAAAAAAAAAAAAAATTACCCAGGTCAGAGGTAACAAGGTGCTGGACTACTGACCTACTGAGATGAGGCACGAGGCTGGGACTGACCAGGACTAACAGTGCTAAGGCCACAGAACATGTGAAAAGAAAAAGAAAAAGACGAGCCAGCAGCCAATATCTGACGTGTGAATTCGGTTAGGCTTTGGCTAGCCAAGTTCGTGGGCTTTCACAGCATAACTCTATGCTTCACGGAGTGCTGCGGAGTATCGTCATTAACCATGAACGATGGTGTCCCCCATGGGGTCATGGTTTTGCAGAATTTGGAGGGTTTCGTGGACTTAGGTCAATCTTTGTGCATTTACGATCGTTTTAGCTGTTCAATGACCAAGAAAATGCCTAATGTAGACTCTGACTGCGGGCCAGCTAATAAGAATTTTCTGTTAGAGACAACACAAGAAATAAAATATAAATGCAAAGACAGCCGCTGTAGTGTGTACGTTTTTTTTCCCATGCTGTTATTAAGCAAAAAAAAAGTGTTGTCACTTCAGTTTACTAGTTAGCGTGGCTCGATTTGTGGCTCGTCGAGTAACTCGTGTCCCCAGAAAATTTCCTTGAACCGTGAGAACAATAAAAGAGTGGTTTGTTGTGGAGAAAGATTTAGTATATTAGTGCCTATGGGATATGGGTGGGGAATCGAAGAACATTCTTTGAAGCGGCAATTTCATTGTAGCAGAGTTTGTTAAAGCGTTGTTTGACTGTACAATGAGTTACAGACTTGAACAATGAGATAGCACAGTAGTTTAGGTGATTTGATTAGAAATATAGAGAGTGTGTTGGTGGTTATGCTTATGCAGTAATGAAGTAGAGTTTCAAAAAAGGCTTTCTTTTGTTCTTTGCCTGCCACTGCTTGCACACCTGTATTGGTTGTTTTTGCTGCAAATAGACAAATACAAATACTTTTGCCACCATGTTTGTTACGTAATACTCTGTAGACCCTGTGGCTGATGATTGTGAATTATAGGCGAGTTGTTTTTAAATTGGTTGGCAGCTTTCAAACACACGTGATGTCATATCTGACTTGATGTCTCTGTAGGGTCTTTTCGTGAAACATTTTCGAGCATTTGACTGGCTTTGTAGCCAGAATACTTGACTACTAAGCAGAATGCCTGGGTTCAGTTTCAGTGCAAACCCCGACTTCTATTCTCTGTACCTATCAGGTTTTTCCACTCATGAGCATACCCACTTCGTTGACCTGTAGTTACGATGCCTGACTGGTGACCTACAGGTCGCAGGATTGAATCCCGGCCACGGCGGCCGCATTTTCAGTAGAGCTGAAAGTGCTGGAGGCTCGTGTACTTAGATTTAGATACATGACCAAGAGCCCCTTGTTGTTGAAATTCCTGGAGCTCCTCTATGGCATCCCTCATAATCATATCGTGGTTTTCTGTCTTTAAATTCATGTAATTCCTATTATGTCCTCATGAGCAAAAATGGCACCGACATGGATAATCTATAACACAGGTTCCTTAATGCTATCACATTGAAAGGTTAAAATAGTCGGGCATTGTGAAAGCTGTTGTCTGGACAGTTTGTAGTGGTGGGAAGCTTCCAAAACAAGTCATAAATGTCTCCTGAGCCATAACACGTTGTTGTTGTACAAATTATTGAAAATTTCGTCATTCAACAGTGCACAATATCTCGCATTGATGTTTTTTGTGGGTGGAACATGCACACAAATCTCTTACGAATAGGTAAACAAGACTTGCTTTCGGTGCTGTATAGGTGGCCACAATTCAGCCATTTTATTAGACCGCCACTGAAGCTTGGCGTCCCGTATTATTTGCATCCCGTATATGTTTGTGTCTAACAAAGAGTGGGGTCCCACATTCGCCTCAGGCAGCAGCATCCATGCATTAGTTTCTGCATGTCCGTGCCCTTGCGGCATTAACCACGCGACAGTTGCCACGCCAGCAGACGGAAACACCTTGTAGAAAAATGGTAAACATCGCTTGGGTTCGTATTCATAATTTTTGCCCTAGTATAATTATTACACCTGCCATGCATGTTTTTTTTTTACAAAAATGAGAAAAATATTTTTGGAAAAAAAAACATGCAGCATCAGCATCGCGGAATCGATGACTGCCAGCACTGCCTGCCCCTCCTGCCACCTTTTAATTTCATTTCTTCATAGAGCGATGCAAAACCTATAAACTCACTTTTCTCAGAAGCTTCCATCTGCAATCTTAATGTAATTAAACATTAATTGAGACCTAGCTAAGCAATTTGTTTTCTCAAATTGGCATACTAGTTTCCCTCTGGTTGACTAGAGTGGCACAGTGTGGGCATTTTCGTGTAGCTCAAAGTGTACGCCTTCAACTGTGAGCAACCTGATGCATAGCTGTGCGACACGTCACCTTAGAGTAATTGATTTTACGAGGAATTCTACATTAAGGTTTACCTGTTAAGCTTAATTCTGTGAGTATAAGATATGAGGATTATCATTTTGTGTACATCAGTACTGGCATTGAAGTGGCTTCAACAATGTTTCAGGATGTGAGGCAGAGCTTCGACAGCTGCGCAAGTCCAACACAGAGTACGAGGAACAGAATGCCATCCTTGGCAAACACATTGACACCATGAAGGCAGCGATCGAAAAACTCGAAGTGGAGACAGTCCAGCAGAAGAACAACAACCTTGCTCTACAGCAGCACTTGGCCGCGTTACGCACAAAACTTGCCGCGAGTTTCTCGAGCCTTCCATTGCCTGGTGAGTCCTCCAGCATTAGCAAAAAAAATGAAAGGTCACCAGCTGATTATTCACTCTTGCCCGAAGCTGTGTACTTGCCTGGAACACGTGAATAACTGGGAGACTCATTTACTAGGAATGCGAGACTACGGCACCAATACCAGATTATGCCCGTCACTGAATTGCTGCTTGTAACTTGAGTCATGTCGATACAGGTACCGAAACGGATTGAATAAACGATAGCTGAAAGTATGACTAGGCCAAGTTACATTGTCATCTCCTTTTAACTTAAACAGTAGTCAGCTGTGCTGTAAAAACCGAACGAGTGTGACTCGACAGCAATCTTTTATCACTACTTTCTTTGCTTCATAGTCAACCTTGAAAGGGTACACATTGCAGGTGATCTTTGTGGCGCTTGAAGGTGCATTATTCCACTCAACCAAACTTTTTTGGTCAGCCACAGAAGTAACCCAGGACAGTATGTATCACTATATTTAGTATGCCTAAAAATGAGTGATGGCTGTGTAGAACTTGCACAACGCACATAAACTGTAAATGCAACCTTCCATGCTAAGTCACTTGACGTGACTTGCCCCCACAGTTTGGCTGTGGCTGTCGTTGGCAGCTACATAGCGGATTGACTACCCTTCTGCATGTGCATGACTTAGTTTAAGGATGTGCAGTCGTCTCAAAACAGTATCATCAATAATTTCCAAAATCATGAATCGGTTATGAGAGATGCTATAGAGTGGGGTCCAAAAGTTTTGGCCACCTGGAATTCTTTAAAGTGTACCTGAGTCAAGTGAATTGCTATTTCTTCTTGGCTTGGTGGTTGTAGCATGGGGAAATGCAAGTGGGGTCTGAATTATTGGCTTTTGTTGTGTAAAATATCGGTGAGCTCAGATATGGACAGACCAAGGGTGTTCTGATTAAATTTTTGTATGAGTTGAGAAAATGTCTCTATAGAAAGGAATAAAATCAACCTTCGTTTGCAAAAATGATTATGTGTCTGTAGGAATAAATTCATTATTCACTACTGGTGGAAAATGTCACTTCTGCAACTTTTAAATCACTCAACTTTGGAGGCCTATCATTCAAGAATTGACACATTGTGGTCTCCAAAATTATTTTTTTTTGCAAGTCTATCAATAGCACTATAGGTCTAGAAAAAGTTAAACCTATGTCTCTCAGTACATTCTGTAAAATTGCCAAAGTTGGATTTTTGAGTGACTGCCTTTGGCTAACCCAAATTTGGGGGTTGCTCTTCGCAATTTTCCCTAAGAGGCTGAAAATGAAAAAAATTCGTCCCAAGTCAAAGTTTTTTTGCTAATTAACTAAAAAGTATGCTGTAGTGCTGCATAATTACTTTGTTATATTATGCCAAAAATATCATAATTGCAAAACTTACTAAAATCAATTCATGTGAGGGTTTACTTAAGAAGAAATGATCACCATTGATTATTATGAAAATGGGGAAGAATGCCAAAAAATGACTGCCTGATATTGTACTGTAAAAAATATATGGCATTGTTTTGTTTTATGTGAGAAAAGTGAGCCTCTTAACTGGGATGTGTGGCGTTCTTATGGGCAAATTAATGTCAGAGACAATTTGTATTTCTTAGCTTCTTTTTTTTTGGGTTGTAATAAAGAAGAGTGACATAGATTGTGCCATGTTTACCCATTAAAAGTCATAGGAAAGGTAAACTAGAATTTTTAGGGCTTTCCTGTCTGTACCAGCAGGCATGCAAGAGTGAATACAAATGAAAGCTTGTTGTGTACAGTGCAAAGTTTCATACGCGCCAGCCATTTCAGTTCACATCTTACAATGTATACTGTGCTAAAGAGGTTTAATAGGTATTTTGTTGAAAGTATGGCATAATGTTATCACTGTATGGCATACAGTATGGAAAGTATGGCATAATTTTAATGCACCTAGACCTAATTTTCTGCTGTTTCATGGTAGAAAAAGGGGGCACCAAATGTGATATTTGCGTTTGTTCAGTGAAAAATTATTTCACCTTCTTTTAAGACTACTCAAGGGCCGTTTCTTGAGGAATGTCCTGTGAAAATTTTTCTGGTACATTTCACAATAACTGCACTCATTTTCGGCTATGATTTTCACTGCGCAATGGTCTAAGTTGTTACTATACTCAGTAACATGTTTACCTATATTTTCTTACATCAAGCAACGAATTTATTCATGACTAGAGTTGGTTTTCGGTAATATACTGATAACTTAAGCATTACTGTAGTGTGGCATCATCAAGAAGCTGTGAAGCCTTAGTATATATTGACTAATTTACATTCACCGAAATGGGTTGAAAAGACAGGGGGGAAGAAGTCATGACACTGGGAGAACCACGGGTTTGTCACGAAATAAATGGTTTGATCTCATCGCCTAGAATGAGTAATGTTCAATTGGGCACGCAAGCTTCACGCATTGTAGAATCACAGCTTTTCCCACTTTTATGTTTGCACACCACGCTACATATAATAAAATTTCCTTGGTCGCATTTTTTGTTTCCACATGTGGGTTGTCTGAATTGCATGCACCCTTCTGGCAAGTTTCCAGTCCTCTTTTCTCTTATCTCTGAAGTCTTCCACTTCACTCTTTTTCGTATGCGCCATGAAAACATTTTAAGTTTACCGGCCGCAATACTAACGAAATCGCCTGTGTTCTGAATGACCGCTGTGGTGGGTGATCACAGGTTATATAGTGTAGCTAGGTCTTTGACAAGCCCACCAGCTCCATTGCTGGCATTCTTGCTGTGCCAAGTAGCCGAAAAAAAACCACTCGGCTGTTTGAAGCTCACTGTGTTGCAGCTCATGCAGTTTTAAGCAATTCTTTAAAATGGGCAGCTGCACCATTGCTCAAAAGTATTAGTTTTGCATAAATGCGGAATAGTCTTCAATGTGATTCTTGATTATTCTCAGAGCAAAGCAAGCATGTGTGAAATCATGGCAAGCTTCGTCGTTATATATGGCATATTGCTATGCCATGTTTCTTGCCAATAGGCTTGTGCACTTTGCCGATAGGATGATTGTACTGATGATTGCCAATTGGGAAGATGGAGGAGGATTAAGGAAAGAGGAAAGAAAAGGTTGCCAGTTCTCAGACCGGCTGGCTCAGGATCGCAGCTCGAATTGTAGGATAGTGCCCGAGTTGGCCTGTTCTATCATGTGACTATAAACAACCAACAACAATTAAGGGGACGTGTATATACCTTGTCTTTGCGAACTTCAGCTAGGTTACATCCCATCTAAGAACCCTTGGTCCTTTATTTCACTGATCATAAGGCAGTCTCAATGAAGGGAGAGCGAAGTCCTCATCTCAATACCTTATACGACCAACAAAACAACATTGCATATATTGTACACACATGTTGTAACTTACTTGCATGTTCGATTGGGTGTTGTGCGGGGGACTGATGGTTACTCGAATGATCCCCCGGAGCTTTGCCCACTGATAATCATTCGCTTCGTGGATATGGTGCGTTTCCATTGATGCGCAAGTGCAACACATCTTTCCTGTCTGGACAGTGCCTTGAATGGTCCAGCTCATCCTCGAGTAATCAAAGATTTTCTTGGTGTCTGCGCCACTCGATTTCTAAATGCTGCTAAATGCTGTATGCTGTGTGCATTCTGAAGCAAATGCTTTTTATAGTAGCTCCAGCGTAGGAGACTATATTCCCGTCCTTTACGTGTGAGGAGGCTTTAGTGATGACACTGCTTATGGGACGCAGAGGACTGCGTTAATGTCTTCGATAACTTCGTCTGTAGTCTGGAAACCATCATTAAACTGATTGGATTCACTTTTCTTTGGATTGTCAATTTCCATGTTTCTAATGAAATTCATTTGAAGCTTGGTATTCTGTTTGCGCCTTTTCAAGTATTCAGAAAAGTTATTTTGGGCAAGAAATTTTGCTGTAATAGCCGTGCCATGGTGAATAGTTATAAGTGTCTCACAGATATAGCAGGTTGACCGAATATCAATCGTTCCCACTATGGGGTGAATGTAGTGTCCTGGAAAGAGCTTAGCAAAACAACAAATACTCAGTAGCCATATTGAAGAGACATTTGCTCAAAAATCAGTTTGAATGTATTTTGAGTGACATAAGTATAACCTTTTCTTGGTCCGTTGGTGCTATTGGTGTAGACTTATGAAAAATTTATTTTGGTGACTGCAATACCTTAATTCTTGAGTAATAAGCCTCTAAATTTGGCAAATTTGAAAGTTGCAGAAGTGCCTTTTTTTCACCTGTAGTGAACTATGAATTTTTCCCTAAAAATTAGGGATCATTTTCGCAGAATGGAGGTTGATTCCTTGCTACAGAGACATTTCCCAGACGGTATAAAAAATTTAGAGCTATAAAAAAAAAAAAGTCGGTACCTCCCTTGGTCTGTCCTTACCTGAACACACTCAAGTATAATGCAGTTGAAGTTCTCGTTGCTCAGAAATGTTGGTAGCCACATTTGTGGAGAATGATTGTAGATGGTGCTTGTGCATGTGTTTGAATATGAGCCTTAACTAGTCAAGACTACTTCGCACGGCTCTGTTTCACAGCGTATATTGGGGTTCACCATGTAGGTATGTGCTTCTGAAATGTTCAGTGCCAATTACTGTTATTGTTGTTCACTTAACACTTTACTACTCTTTAGGTAAGCTTTTTTTTTGCTTTGTTATTACAGTAAGCAAACTAAAGTATGTATGTTCTTTGTAACTTGCAGGAACAAATGAAACTGCCACATTGGAGAACATAGACAGCTATATGGCTGTACTTCATAGCATCATCTTGGACCGACCACAGGAACATGAAGCATTGATTGCTTCTGTTCGTGAGATAGCTAATCGCTTGGAGTACCAAGGATGAAGACAGCCTGCTAATATGTTAACGCAAGACAAATATATGCATTTGCATGCTGTACATAACATTCAATTCCTTAGAAAATAACTTACTGATCAAGTACATTTTCATGATCAACTTTTACGTATGCTTTTCATATAATGTTGAACAGACTACTTGTAGTTTGCTGGTGCAAATGAATTTGTAGCGTTTGCATGCTGTGCATAGCTCATGCTTATGTGATGACCTGATGAAATAAATAAATACATTCTCATAACCTGTCTCCGTGCTTCTGTTTTTCTTTTTTTTTCCTGAAATGGCTCTGAAAGCTGGCAAACAAAAAAGCAAAGCATGTATATTGCTTGGGTGTGATTGTTCGCAAACTGTAAAGCATATTTTTTCTCTTTTGTCCGGTACATGCGTTATTACGAAATAATTTTCCATGACGCTCCTTGTGTTCACTATGAGTGTATGAAACACTCGCCCCGAACAATTTTTATGCCACTTATTGTATCAACTATGTCCTCTTGAAACTGCCCACCTGCTTGGACCTAAGGGTCTTCAATATGTAATAAATAAAATAAATAAATGAAATATGTGGAGCAAAAGGAAGGGTGTAAACCTATAATCGAGAGTGCCGTGCTTTGAGAGAGAACGAAAGTTAAACCAAAAAATGAATACAATGTTACAGTGTGCCAAGGTTAAAAACAAACAGAAACATTTCTGTACCTAGCATTTCATTCTTACTAGGTTGCCCGACTGGCTGATAAAATGCATAATTGTTGTCCACTTTCGTGTTGGCTTCACTGATTTGTGATACATTACGAGTACAGACAATACATGTGCCAATGCTAATAGAACGTTGAACACTCACACGCAGTTTATGTAAAAGTTTGCATCTGTTTGCCTTCTTTTTGGAGATATTGAAGATAGAAGAGTTCTATGTTTTTCCGCCAGAAATTATACGCAAATTGTTAAATTTTGCTTTTTATGATACCCTGTATAATTGAATTGCTTGTCAACCTTTTGTTGTTTCTTGTTTAGCTTCATGAAATTAATTCAAGGGCAGAGGAAAAAAAAAAAAAACAAGCTTGCTTTTACATGATCAAAATGATTAGATTTTAGGCCAGGAATTAAGACTCCTGGCCTGAAAAGAGACTGTACGAGACGGTGTCCCTCCTTTAAAGGCTGTATTGTGTTACACCAGCATTCTGTGGAGTTACACGAAGTTGCACCCAGAAGAGCTAGCTGCCAGCTTACTTGCAGTTGGTAACAAAGCAGACCTTGCTGAAGTGGGTACAGTAAGGCCCTGTGTTATACTTTCTAAAAATGAATCATGTTAAAGGGGTTATGCAACAGTTTGTTTTGTAAGATTTATTTTTCTAATGTATTCTAATTCTTAAATGTGTTCTAATCTCTTTAACCACACTACACTGGTCATTACTGCCTTGCTTTTGTTAGGAGGAAACTTAATATGAATACCACTGTCTCTTTTGTAAGCACACGTATGACCCTGAGATCCTTTTATAAATCGGCCACTGGCCCAGGTCACGTGAGAAAGAAAGTTCAGTTCCATGAACTCAGTAACATAAAAAGTATGAGGTTACAAAAAAAGTTGTTTTACGCAAGCAATGAGTTTCAAGAAAATAGATGAATGAAGATTACTCATGTATAACCCTGTACAAGAAACAAATGTCACAGTCCTGTAAACAGTACTCGAAAGGCAAATGCGTCCCTCTTTTTCAGATGAGACTGTGGCAGCTGCGCTGGCATCTCAGCATGGAGCCTTATTTTATTGCGACAACAATGATATAGATAGTTTCGATGGGTTTTGCCGTTATGCTCCGTATAAAGTAAACATCCCACCTGTGTATCGATTTGTTCTACTCGCGGATAAAAACGTCTGAGCGGGGGTGATGAATGTAGCTGAAGCAGAGATCAAATGAGGTGGCTCATGCCCGTCGCTCAGAGTGTGCGCGCGATAACATCCCGCCCCCTCCCGGCTTGCTAGCCCTGCCGTTGAATGCTTCTCAAGCAAAAAGGAAACGCCCCGCTCGTCTTCAAAACCCTTTATGTATATTCAAAAACCCTTCATGTACAGACGGGTCCACTGTTAAAGGGAACACATGTGTGAGCAGCATGTTTAAATTTCACTATCTTACGGAATCATAGCGGCTTAGATATGCATAAGAATACTGGTGGTTAAAAGTTCTGCCTCCTCTTGACAGACTATTGGCTTGCATGAAGATTGTTTCTTAATCCACTTGCTCTTAGAGGGCCAGGAATATTGATGGTGTGCATTCGAGTGTTCCCTTTAACAGTGGACCATACTGTACATTCGTGCGTGTGTTTTCGTGTATGTAATACGCCAAATTAAACTACCGTGGAGGTTAGGGGGGTGACCCCTTTCCCCCCTGACTACTTGAGTGCATCCCAGATTCATCATAATGAGGCCGAGGCAAGGTGGTCTGTGTCTAAACTTCTGGTCACATAGTAATAGCTCGTACACAGATAAGCAGCCACTAGCTTGCATAAGCCTCAGCGGGCGACATCAAACTACGAGGAAGCGGCATCCCGCAGCAGCTAGCGTGGCGCTGTCAAGCAGGATTGATTGAGCCCGAGGTCGTGGAACTGCCCTCATGCGTTGTGCGTTGACGGCCCTCTCATAACCTCCCTCCTTGCCCTTTTTGGAGAGTACAACTGAAGGCTCATTTTGAACAAGTTGAAAGATGTGCTTCTACGATGAAATTGTGGAACGATAAGACAAGCGCGCACGCGGTTTATGAAGGTCAATTTCGATCACTCAGTCGTACGTGACGACAAAAGTCGTTCCATCCCGTGGGCGTAGCACGCCAGTGCAACGTTGTAGAAGGCGCAGCGTACCTCGACGCTTGATCCTATAGTTATAACCGCGCTTCGCCAGCCTGTTTTGCAAGCAGGTCTCAAAAAGTTCTTAGTTTCATTGGATGCGGAGTTGAATGCATATTTGTTTCTACTTTTCATCTTTATTGGCTCCCGGCGTTTCTTTCGCGGAATAATAAAAGTATGCCCGGAAATGCATGTGCTCGCTTGATTAATATATTCAAGTGCGCTTACGTTTGATTTTTTTCTTGAGAAAAATACACCTAATTAATTTCCACAGGGGAAGGTGCGAACGATACATAACATGGTTTTGCCGGGGATTGCAATTATTGTAATTTAAGGTATGCTGCGATAACGTGGTCAGAAATGTTTTCAGGGATGGGAGGTGGTAGGTGGGTTCGGCCAGTTCATTACTCCCCCCCCCCCTCTTGGCTACGCCAGTGCTATGCTGTTTGTGATGAAATACAACAAATAGTAAAGGGACGGGAAGCCGTGCTCAAGTCTCCCTCTTATATAGCATATGATAATGACCTGCATGCTTATGGTGGTACCTCTTGTGTATCGATGTTCTCAAGGACCTAACAGTGCATTGTGCTGGTGTAGCCAGGTGGGGCGGGGTGGTCAAGCCTCTTGAAATGTGTTTCAATTTTACATGCGTATATACACACGCACGTATTCGAACGCGTGCACGAACGTGCAAGAAGAATCGTTGAGCCACGCTCCTTTCCGTAAATTCTGGCTGCGCTAAGCTGTCGCACCGTTCCTTCACGCGAACACAAATGGTGCGCTGAACGTTTACATTAAAGAATAGCTGCTCTCGCTAAAGGGTCAGCGAAACTTGGTATCTCTTAATCAGCCCAATCACCTTCCTTACTCTTTACAGAATTCGCCGGGGTACGGCTCAGAGGCACAATGTGAGGCATTTTACACCGTGCTGAAGGGCCATGGCGTCGTGCTTTTGTAGAGCACATGTGGCCGTACGTTCGATTGCGGTGCCCGTCTCGGACCGGGCACGCGGCCATTTTAAGGGGGTGCCCCTCCCGAAATCAATGTGGTGCCCCCCCTCCCGCTAATGAAAAAGCTTTCTGGCTACGCGCCTATTTTGGAGATGTATTAACGGCTAAAACGCTGTGGTAATTTTCCGAAGCCCTTCATATGGTCACCGTCGTAATTGCGGAGTTCTAGAGAGTTTCACGCCACACAGCGCAGAAATGGGATTAGTGCTAAGTTATTGCACGACGCCCGCATATTTGTGATGTCACTCGATCGACTGCTCAAATAGATCAATTTGACGGGTCAATCTCAAGTGAAGTGGATCCACAGCGCTCGGAAAGAGGAGCACGTGTTTCGCCCCTTGACCCAAGAAAGTGTGCGGCAACTGTGCGACCCGCATAGGCACGAGTATTTAATACGTCCGGGACGTCATACGTCTTGGAAACCGATGGACCTGGACGGCGACGCGGTATAACTCGACTCGCCCTGTGTGCCCCACTTAGCGTTCCGTTTTCAGGCAGCACGTTTTCCACGAGGGGACATGTTCGTCGTGGGCTTTCTGCTAACGTTGTCTTCCAGCTCACTTGCGTGCGGTGAGTGCTAAACTGGCCTTGCGCTATAGAATACGATGACAGATGGGAGGAAAAGTAAACAGTACACTTGCTTTGCTGTAGTGCGGCGGCATGGGATTTGGATACCGGAAGGAACGTAGTACAACGACATAGGTCGACAAGCTCACTCATACGTAAGTCGGCTCACGTGGACTCACTCAGACTCGGAAACGGGCTGTCAGTGCGTTTGAGGAAAATATTGATCTACAGTTTTAGTTTAGTGAGTAACAATTGCAAAATATATTTTTTCAATGAGTATGAGTGATTCCCATCTTTTATTGGCCACATATGGTCATACCTATTCATTTTCAGCATTACTGTCAGCCGCATATCAGTTTACATTTGCACTCAAGTCTTTTCACACACACATAAACGCATAAGCGATCACATGCCGCCTAAATAATTATTAATAAGAGCGACCCGTAGGTGAGTGGAGGTAGTTCCATGAAACGCTCTTGCAAACTTTTTCGCGAAAACTTTTTGATAAAAGTGCCTCGTGTGAGTGCTTACTGAATCAAAATGTCCTTACTGAATTTAGATTCCTGACAACTCTCACTTGAAGAGGCACAAAATCGAAAGGCGGGCTGTAGTCTCGCATAGCGGATTATGCGAGATATATGTGCGTTTTAAGAAACATTTACCACTTTTGCATCGCAACCAGCCGCGAACCGTATTCTCACGGATTGATCAATCAATAAATCAATCAAATCAAATTTTATTTTCGCTTCAGACAATACAGCGCATTGTCACTGCGCATTGTCACTGCGAATGAGTCGAATAACTCACCCAGACTCAGATCAAGCCGGGAGTCTTAG